GCCACGCTGGCTGGGCGTTTTTATTTATTCTTTTTAAATTAATTCTAGGGAGAGAAAAAGATAGAGAGGAACCGAACCTGGGGCCCTCCGCGACCCCTCGGCTCCAGGCCCTCGCTGGAACCACTGAGCCACAGCCGCCAGGGCCAGGTCTACGTGTCTGGGGTCCTTCAAACGCTGCAGACATGTGCGGAGGAGCTCAGAGGCCCACACGCCCCTGAGGCCGCGGGGTGTTTCTCTCCTGGAAACCCCATCTAAACAGATTATGAGAAAGGGATCAGTGCCTGGTCTCTAACCAATCTCAGGGCGGGGCTTAAACAGGAAGTGATGCCAGGAGCGTGTATATAAACAGGGGGGTTTCAGCTCTCAGCACAGAGCTGGCCAGTGCAGGCTGCAGGAGGTGCGGCTCGAGCGCTGCGGAGGCGGTGAGTGGGGCGAGGGTATCAGAGGCTGGGCGTTTGTAAGTCAATGAGGACCGATGGACGGACGAAAGGATGAATGAGTGGATGGCTGGGTGGCTGGCTGGGTGGGTGGATGGATGGATGGATGGATGGATGCGTGGATGGGTGGATGGGTGGATGGATGGATGCATGGATGCGTGGATGCGTGGATGGGTGGATGGGTGGGTGGATGAGTGGATGGGTGGGTGGATGGATATTTGTCTTAGAATGACCCACGTGTGTGCGCTGTGCATCATTTCTGAGATCCTGTGAAAACCAGGTATTTCCCCAGCACTCGCTTTCACACATGAGGCGTGGTTTCTATTCAAAACCAAGCTGTGCAGTCTAGGACACTGTTAGCTTTTTTTGACCAGATTCATCTTTATTTTGGGGGTGAGGTGTGGGTGCTGTCCTGTGCACCTTAGGGAGCCTTGCAGTGCCTCCCCTCCCCCCAGGCCCGGTTGGGACAGGCATCAGTCCGTTCTCCGTGTCTGGGAGTGAGTTTGGTGTTTTAGTTTGTTCTTTAGATCCCACGTGGAAGGAAAATCTAGTGGTAACTTGTCCTTCTCTGACTGGGGTGTTTCTCGCAGCCTAAGACTCTTTGAGGCTCACCCCAGCTTTGGCCAATGGAAGGGTCTCATCCATTTTTATGTCCGAGTAACGTTCCCCTGTGTACAGGCACCCGCTCTGCTGGGTCCCTAGGTCTCATTCATGGGTGTGTTGGGTGATGCCATATCGTGGAGCTGGTTTTGTGTGTCTCTGTGACTCCATCCATGGCTGTCTCTGTGGGTGGTGGTGGTTTTTTGTCCGTTTGTCCATGGCTTCCTTAACGTGAAAGGAGCCCACACTTTCTAGAAATGACTTGACATATTCCTGCCTCCTCCCTGATTTCCAGGGGCAGGAAACCTCTGAAATCCCATGGTTTCCTGGCTTCATGCTTTCACACATGTGTTCTTACCTTCCAAACAAGAAACTCTAGGGAACCTCCTACACACACACACACACACACACACACACACACTCACCCCTAACCTATGATCTCATCCTCCTGACTCTCCAGCGACCTTGCCCTGACCTTCAGGTGGACCCCCTCCCTGTGAGGAAAGGATGGCTGGGGGCCCTGTGTTCATAGCTGCTGCCCTTGAGAGAAACTTGGTCTCTGAGAATCCTGGGAAGTGGCTCTTCCCTCTGGAAGGTCCCTTAGGGCCTGTGACAATTCCTCCTCTTTGTTGGTTAATCCTCACCGAGGATGCTTTTCCATTGAATTTTAGAGAGAGTGCAAGGGAGAGCCAGACACACACACAGAGAGAGAAGGATTGGATGTGGGAGAGACATCCATTGGTTGCCTGGTGCACCCACCCTATGCAAGGCTGGGAATTTAGCCAGCACCTGAGGGATGAGTCCTTGACATGGATCCTTCCGTCCTTGGGCCAACGCTCTATCCACTAAGCCAATCAAACTACGGTGAATGTTTCTCATATAAAATCTTGTTACCTCCAAATTTCCAAGAGCAAATCGCATTTTCTGGGGTGGGATTATGTAGGTGTGACCAGTTCCTCATTCTTGCGAATTAAACTCATTAAACAAAACTTAAGGACTGGCTGAGCAGCCCAGTTGGTTAGAGCGCCCAATCAGGACACTTACATGAATCAACCTGGACACACAAATTTCTCTCTCACTCTCTTCGTATGCTTGGCGAAGACCATGCACGAACCAACTGAGCCACCTGGCTAGGCCCCTGCATCTTGTCTGGAGAAGCTACAGACACTGACTTCTTTATTGAAGTAGATTTTGGAGCCCAGCGGCTGTGGCTCCGGTGTTGAGTGTCGACCCATGAGCCCACAGGTCACTGGATGGTTTTCTGGTCAGGCACACGCCCAGCTTTCAGGCTCCATTCCCCATTGGGGGAGTGCAGGTGTTAGCTGATTGATGTTTCTCCCTCTCTCTCACCTCTTCATTTCTCTCTCTAAAATCAATAAAATGAAAATTTTTTTAAAAAGAAGAATACTAGCCAAAACCGGTTTGGCTCAGTAGATAGGGCGTAAGCCTGCGGACTGAAAGGTCCCAGGTTTGATTCCTGTCAAGGGCATGTACCTTGGTTGCAGGCACATCCCCAGTGGGGAGTGTGCAGGAAGCAGCTGATCAATGATTCACTCATCATTATGAGTGCATTAATGAGAAACATTAATTAATGTTTATATCTCTCTCTTCCTTTCCCTTACTCTCTGTAATCAATAAAAACATGTTTGTTTGTTTGTTTTAAAAAGAATACTATGGGTTAACCTCCGTGGCATTAAATATGGGACCCATATAAGGGGTGTTTCATACTGGGCGGGTCAACACTCCAACTCATCAAATTCTCTCCTCTCTTCCCCCAGGACTGTGTGTCTGTTACCTTGTCTGTCCCTTCTCTCGCTCTCCCTCAGGAGCTGACTTCAGGACAGGTTCGCTCCAGTACCATTGAAGACCTTTCCAGTGACGATGGCTACATTCCAGGTGTTCTCAGGTGGTCCTGAGAGCGCACAGGGAAGCCTGGGCTGGGCGCTGCCACCGACAGGATGGCCTCAGGGATGCCTCACAGAGAGACAGTACGAGGACTCCGAGTGGTGGCACAGGCACTTCAGAGAATTCCAGCCCTCAGAGGGCTCGGACCCCCTCCAGAGCTTGCACACAATTAAGGAGTCTCTCAACCTGTGGATGAGGCCGGACATGCGCTCCACGCGGCAGATCCTGGACCAGCTGGTGCTGGAGAAGTTCATGACCTGCATGCCCCTGGAGCTGCAGGTCCTGGTCAGGGAGAGGAAGGTGCAGAGCTGCGAGGAGCTGGAAACCTTGCTGAGGAAGAAGGAGAAACCCAGGAAATGGGTGAGTGGGACCTTCAGGATGGGCAGGGCAAGGGAGGCCAGTCAATGTTCTTTAGTGTTCAGTGTTTTTTTGTTTGTTTGTTTTTTAAAATATATTTTATTGCTTTTGTACAGAGAGGAAGGGAGAGAGATAGAGAGTTAGAAACATCGATGATGAGAGTCATCGATCAGCTGCCACTTGCACACCCCCTACTGGGGATATGCCCGCAACCAAGGTACATGCCCTTGACCGGAATCGAACCCTGGACCTTTTAATCCCCAAGCCGACGCTCTATCCATTGAGCCAAACCAGTTTCAGCAGTGTTCTGTGTTTTTATGTTTTAAATATATTTTTGTTGACTTCAGAGAGGGATGAGGAGACAGAGCCAGAGAAACATCAATGATGAGAGAGAATCACTGATTGGCTGCCTCCTGCACACCCCCACCAGCCCATTGAGGATCAAGTCTGAAACCGGTGGTATGCCCTGTCCGGGAATGGAGCTGTGACCTCCTGGTTCATAGGTAGATACCCAGCCACTGAGCCTCAACACCCAGGCCACATGAGCATTCCTTAGATGGACATCTTCTGACATGTGATCTTCCATCCAGAACCACACATTCCTAATGATCTCAGAATAACCCCAGGAGGTAGACTTGTTGGTTCTGCCTCATGGGTGAGGAAACTGAGGCACAGACCAGGTGGAGGGATGGTGCCTGTGCTCTCCAGGGAGCCTGTGGCAATGTTGGGAGACATGTTTGGTTGCCACCATGTGCGCGGATGATTGAAAGAATTCCTTTTTTAGAGAGAGAATGGGGAAGGGAGACAGAGGGAAACTTTAAGTGTGAGTGTGAGAAGGACACAGGCAAGGAGGAAGGTGCCTCCCGGGTCTCATCCTCTTTCATTTCCTCCCCACAGAGGGTGCTCACCATCCAAGGGCAGGAATATCTTCTGGAGAATTCGGAGGAAGACCTGGTGCTGGACTTGTCTATGAAGTCTTCAACCCCCATCAGTGAGGCGGGGGAACATCCTGACAACAGCACGGAGGTCCTTGGAGAGCTGGGAAACCAGCCAGGACCCAGTGATGTGGCCTGGGGACAGGTGAGTTTGTGACGCCCTGATCTGTGGGGACAGGTGGGAGCAGGTTCAAGGGTTCGTGCAGCCCGTAGCTGCCATGGCATTTGGGAATTTGGACACAGGCTAGAAAGGGACCCTGAAATGCATCGAGGGGAAGCGTTCAGTTCATGGGCATTTCTGAACCAACGTGGACCATCAAGAGTCCCTGACCTCTGTGCTTGGTCCACAGACCAGTAGAAATCTACTGATCCTTTGAGCATTACCAGGGTGAGGAGTGGGGAGGGCTGGGTCCAGAATTGGGAGTTGGGGGTGATGGGTTTGGCCCCAAGGAAGTCTACACAGAGCCCCAAAACTGTGGTGTTAGGTAACCTGGGGTCCAGGTCAGGGAGATGGACCAGATGGGGCACTGGATGGCAAACTCATGAGTCAACAGAGCCAAATATCAACAGGACAACGATTGACATTGCTTTTGAGAGCCAAATTTTTTAAACTTAAACTATATGTGGGTCCTTTGTGATCAACTTAATCAGGGCACTCCTAAGCTGGCCTTTGCTATCGATAAAAGCTCATGGGGCCAAAGAGCTGCATGAAGCTCGTGAGCTGCAGTTTGCCGACCACCGGGATGGGGGAAGGAGGGACAGAGCTTCCCACTCCTGGTTTCAGACACGTCTAACCACCCTTGTCTGCCCATGGTCAGAGGCAGCAAGTCCTCCAGCCAGAGACGATTCCCAAGAACAGTGACCCGCATGGTGTGAGGCCTGCGGAGAGATTGGAGGAGTTGGAGGAGAACGTGATGGTAGAAGAGGAAGAGGCAGCGGTTCTCACAGCTCCAGAGGCTCCGCTTCCCAGCAGTCCTGGTGAGTATGGATCGGGGCTTCAGAGCGATTATGGATGCTCCCTGTGCTGAGGATGCAGCCTGGTCCTCTATTGGCGACAGGTGGCTCTCCATGCCAAGCCTTGTCCACTACAGACACCCTGGTGTCCTAAGGTCTAGTCTCTCAGGTTTGTTGGTTGATGGGAATTTCTCAAGCACCATCAGCTTTGGTTCAGAGGCTTTTGGGGGTGTTAAAAGTGTTCTCTCTCATATGACTGTTAGAGAGAGAGTGCAGAGAAGATAGAGAGAGATAGAGACATCGATGAGAGAGGAAATCATGGAATGGCTGCCTCCTCCATGGACGGAGCCCTACACCCCGGGCACCTGCCCTGACAGGGAGTGGAGCTGGCGACTCTTGGCTGCTGGGTGGGTGCTCAGTCCCCGAGCCAGGTCGAAACGGCTTTTATTCATGTTGTGCGTTGAACCCTCTCTTTCAGGAGATACGGTGATGACAGAGGGGGAGCAGAGCCCCCAAGAAGGAATCAGCCTTGAATGTGTGGATGCTGCTGACAAACCTCCCGCCCACATCCCAGAGACTCGGGCCCTGACTCAGCGTCAGAAGAGAAGAGGTTCTCGGCATGCAAGAGGTTCCCACAAGAGAAAAAGGGGGAACACTCCCACCATCCAAGAGGAGCCTCAGGAAGCAGCCGTGCCATTGGGCCAAGGACAAGCTGTAGGACAGCCCGGGTCCGATTCAGTTGGTGCATCAAACGCTGTGGAGCCAGCTGGTCACCCTGTTGGCACAGAACCCGGGAGACAGATCCCAAACGAGTGTGAGGACTGCCACGAGAGGTTCAGTAATAAATCCCAGTTAGACCTTCACCGGAGGACACACACGGGAGAGAGGTTCTTCCAATGCCTTTTCTGTCCCAAGAGATTCCCTCAGGCCTGGGACCTGAGGGTCCACCATCGGACTCACCAGGGCCAGAAGCCGATCCGCTTTTACCGTCCGCAAAGAGAGGTTCGCCCAGGAGTCCATGCTGCGTGGCCTCCAGCGGGTCCACACCCGGGAGAGGCCGTACCAGTGGGACGTCTGCCACCAGAAGGTCAGCCACAGAGGGAGCCTCAACATCCACATGTGGCCCCTCTCGGGCCTGAGGCCCTACCGGTGTCCCCGGTGCGACAGGGCCTTCCGCCAGCTGGGGACATTTCAACGCCACCAAAGGGCATGTCAACCAGGCGGTCCGGAGGCTCCACATCCCTGCTGACCCAGAAGGACAGGAATGGGTGCAGAAATGGTCCATGAGCACTTAGACACAGGAGGCGCTGTGGATTAGGATTGGGGTCCTCCAATGATCCCTCATGTTCCCTGTTGGCCCCATATCCTGTGTCAGTCTTGCTACCTTTTTTTTCAATAAATAGCTCATGATTAAACCCTTATCTTCTGTTTGTCCTCCTGTTGTCCTTTGTTTCCTTGTAAAATAGGGAGGTCCCAGGAGAGTGGCCAGACTCCCTACAGAATACCCAGTGCAGTGTGGATGTCTGACACACCATATTTTTTTATTTTGTAAATATATATATATTATTGGTTTTTGTTTGTTTGTTTTTACAGAGAGAAAGAGAGAGGGATAGAGAGTTTGAAACATTGATGAGAAACATCAATCAGCTGCCTCCTGCACACCTCTCCTGGGGATGTGCCTGCCACCAAGGTACATACCCTTGACCAGAACCAACCTGGGACCCTTGATTCAGCAGGCAGACACTTTATCGATTGAGCCAAACCAGTTTGGGCAAAATATTTATATACTAAAGGCTGGGTGCACGAAATTCATGCACAGAGGGGGATTCCCTCAACTTAGTGTGCACCCTCTCCAATTAGGGACCTTTTGTGGGATGTCTGACTGCCATTTTAGGCCTGATCACAGGGATGAGACCTAAAACTGGCAGTCAGATAACCTCTCACAATCTGGGACCACTGGCTCCTAGCTGTTCACCTGCCTGCCTGCCTGATTACCCCTAACTGCTTCTGCCTGCCAGCCTGATCACACCTAACTGCCCTCTCCTGCAGGCCTGAGGTTGCCCACAACTGCCCTCCTCTGCTGGCCAATTTGGTTCTGATTGGTCAGTTCCTATGCCAGTCAGCCTCAAAAACTCCACCTCCTAGGCAGCCATTGGCTCATCACAGCACCCAGATTTGGTTCTCATTGGTCGGTTCCTATGCCAGTCAGCATGAGAAGCTCTGCCTTCTAGGCAGCCATTGGCTCCTCACAGCACCCACTTTTGTTTCCCATTGGTCAGTTCCTATGCCAGTCAGCATCAGAAGCTCCGCCTCCTAGGCAGCCAGCACCCACCTATGGTTCTGATTGGTCAGTTCCTATGCTAGTCAGAGTCAGAAGCTACGCAGGACAACAGTGAAGGCACACTCACAGCGCCTGGGACTCCCGCCGGCGCCACCGGAGTCACCCAGGCCCCCAGCCGGGCCCCTCCTCACAGCCCTTCCTGGAGCCCTGAGCCTCCACTGCCCACCCCCAAATACCCTTTCCATCCCATCACCCTCCGTTTTTAAATATATTTTCATTGATTTCAGAGAGGAAAGGAGAGAGTGAAGCATCATTTATGAGAATCTGACTGGCTGCACGCCCCCATGGGATGGAGCCGACCCCGGGCCTGGGCTCTGACGGGGACTTGAACCGTGACCTCCAGGGTCATAGTTTGAAGCTCAACCAGAGCTATGCCAGTGGGCTCACCCTCCCTTTTGTGTGTGTGTTGCTTTGTTTGTTAGTCCTCACCTGAGGATATTTTCCCATTGATTTTTAGGGAGAGTGGGAGAGAGAGGGAGAGAGAGGGAGAGACAGAGAAACATCGATGTGAGAGACACAGATGGGTTACCACCTCCTGCACCAGCCCTGATCCAACCCGAGGCCCTTTGGTCCGCAGGCTGACGCGCTGCCCACTGAGCCACGGGTCGGGTCTCTCCTTTATTTAAAACCAGGTCCCCGGCTGTCTCCGCATCTGCTGGCTGTCGGCCTTCCTCCTCTTTCCCTGGAGCCTCAGCTTCAGTGCGGCCGGACAGGGGCTTCCCGTGGGCTCGGGCTCCTCCAGGCGCCCATGGATCTTGCATTAACAGTGTCCGTCGCAGCGCGGTGGCCGCGGCTGCAGGAGGCCGGGCTGGCGCACAGGTGCTGCCCCTCCCGCGCCCGCCACCGGGTCTGCAGGTGGAGGCCCGGGCGCAGGCAGACACGGAGGGTTCCTGCTCAGCGGAGCTCGCTGCCGCCTCTTCTCTCACCCAGAGCCATCGGAAGCCGCGACTGCCGGGCCGTCGGGAGGGTGAGGGGTTGGGGAGGACACGGCGGGGTGGGGGGATTGGAATTGGGGCTGGAATGGGTTCGGGGACCAAGCGAGGGCGGCCCAGGCTGCTCCAGTCACTCCCGGCGATGCCCCCGGCCCCAGGCCAGGCGCCCCATACGGGAGGGGTGCGGAGGCCGAGAGGGCGCACACTACAGAGCCGCCGGCCAGACCCGGAGGAGGCGGCACAGGACCACCCCGGGCCCAATCCGGGGCTCTGGCCACCGCGGCGCACAGGCCTCTGGGAGCACCAGCCCGGCCGGGTCTCCAGACCCACAGCCCCAGCAGGCGGGGAGCCAGCCGCCCTTCCCCGCCTGGGAGAGGGACCGGGACCGCTCACAGGTGTGAGGGGCCCGTGTGGCACCTCCCACCACCTCTCACCGGGGCCCATCTTTAGACTGGAGAGCAGGAACGGCGGCCCCGGGAGCTGGGGGGTTCCAGGGCTCCGCCCCCCGCACCCTTCCTTCTCTCCGCCCCCTTTCCCCCCCCCCCCCTCCAGGGAGCAGGGCACGTCCACAGAGGCCGGCGGGGCTTGCCCCTCATCAGTGACTTTATTCCGGGCAGATGCTGGTGAACCGCGTCCACGCGCTTCTCGGAGCGCCATCTCCGCGCACCCCTGCCCCCCACCTGTCCGGGCGAGGCGGAGGGCAGGGGCAGGACCCGGCCCCCCGCCTGCGGCCGCCCCTCTGGCCCAGGGGCCTCCTGAGCGCCTCCCCTGGGCCCCGCCCGCCCTTCCCCCCAAAGGGCGGTGCGCGGGTCAGGGACACGGGGAGGCCCCTGCACAGGGCGGGGCGGCTGGCGGTCAGGAGGGGGGCAGAGCGGAGGTCGGATTGCCCCACCTCTCTCTGCCGTCTGCGAACTGGGGCGAAATTCAGAAGAAAAACACACGCTACTGTGAACTCAGGGGAAAAATCAAGTCCGCCCGCAACCGGAGCTTTCCCTCCGGCACCGCCTCCTCCTGCGCCGCCGCCAGGAGCGCGGGGTTCGGGGCGCGCACAGCCGGACGGGACCTGAGGACGCTGGGGTGCGGGGGGGCTCAGTCCGGGGAGGAGGCTCAGTCCGGGAGGAGGAGGTGGGGGCGGGCGGCTCAGTCCGGGAGGAGGCGTCGGGGGAGGAGGCTCAGTCCCGGGGATCAGGCGGGGGCGGGCGGCGGCTACCCCAGCGGCCACGGCGGGAAGGGCCCCCCGCCCTCGGGGCCCGGCGCCCCGGTGGCCGCCGCGGCCGCCGCTGCAGCCGCCGCCGCCGCGCGGCCGTGGATGCGCTGGTGGCGCAGCAGGTGCTCGCGGCGGCCGAAGCCCTTGCCGCACTGCCAGCAGGCGAAGGGCCGCGCGCCCGAGTGCGTCTTGCGGTGGCGCACCAGGTGCTCGCGCCAGTAGAAGGTCTTGCCGCACTCGCAGCAGGCGTGCGGCCGCTCGCGGGCCGGCAGCGGGCGCAGCGCGGGCCCGGGGCAGGCGGGGCCGCCGGGGTGCGTGCCGCGGTGGCGCCGCAGGTGCTCCTTGCGCCGGAAGGCCTTGCCGCACTCGGGGCAGGCGTGCGGCTTCTCGGCCGAGTGGCTCTGCCGGTGGCGCAGCAGGTGCGCCGGCTTCAGCGCCGTCTTGCCGCACTCGGGGCAGGACACGGTGCCCGCGGCGGCGGCCAGCAGCGCGGGCAGGGCGGGCGCGGGCAGCGCGGGCGGCGCCAGCGGGGGGCTGCCCGGCTCCTGCTTGTAGGGCCGCGCGGCCTGGGCGTCGCCAGAGGCCGGCTCCTCAGTTCCCGGGACGGCATCTCCTGCGGGCAAAGGCGCGGTCAGGCGGCGGCGGGCAGGGCGGGCAGGGTGAGGGCCGCGGGCGGGGCGGGCAGCGCTGGGGGAGGGGCTCTCATCCATCCGTCCCTGCGGCTCAAACAGTCAGCGCTACACAGGCGTGCCAATGTGTGTGCGGGTGTGTGAGGGAGGGAGGGGTACAGGTCACAGAAGAGACTGAAGGGCGATCGGAGGGATGGAAGAAGGGAGGAGGAAATGGGGAGAGGAATGAGTACATGCAGGGGATGGATGGATGATAGATGAATGGATCGGTGAATGGGCAGATGATTGGTGGGCAGGTGGGTGGATGGAGGATGAGGTGGTGGATGGATGAATGGTAGGGAGATGGAGGTAGACAGATGGGTGGCTGGATGTACGGATGATGGAGAGGTAGGTGGGTAGATGCATGGATTGATGGTAGGTAGATGGTGGGTGGATGGATGGATGCATGGATGGATGGGTAGGTGGATGGAGGAATGGATGGGTGGATGATGGGTGGGTGGGTGGATGGATGATGGATGGGTGGATGGATGAGTGGGTGGGTGGGTGAATAGGTGGGTTGATGGGTGGGTGGATGAATGGATGATGGCTAGGTGGATGGAGGAATGATGGATGGGTGGGTGGGTGGGTGGATGGATGAGTGGGTAGGTGGGTGGGTGGGTGGGTGGATGATGGCTAGGTGGATGGAGGAATGATGGATGGGTGGGTGGGTGGGTGGATGGATGAGTGGGTAGGTGGGTGGGTGGGTAGGTGGATGGAGGAATGATGGATGGGTGGATGGATGGATGGGTGGGTAGGTAGGTGGGTAGGTGGATGGGTGGATGGGTGGATAGGTGGGTGGGTGGATGGATGGATGATGGCTGGGTAGTCCCTGTCCTGTGACCCTCCCTACTCTCCCCGAGTCCTCCCTGCCCTGGCCTCCATCCTGCTGCCTCCCCATCGGCCCTGAGATGACCCTGAAGCTGCAGTTAGGACACAGCCCTCTTCCGGCACCGGGAGAGCATCTCGCTGTGCAGCTGTCCCAGGCCCTGCCCATCCCCCTTCTCCCACAGGTGCACCTGACCTCCCTCCCCCCGTCACGGGTGTGTCCGGGACCGGGCGGTGCAGCTACAGGACGCGGGCACCACTGCGCGTCGCTGGGGCTGCGGTGGGATTGCAGCTCCCGGGCCAGAACCTCCCTGGGCCTGTCCAGCCCCCTCCCCGCCCCCCACTCTGCCCTGCTGCGCGGGCCCTGCGCAGGGTCCGGGGGCCTACAGCGAGGCAGCCAGGGACACCCACTGAGGGGCGGGTGGGCGGGGCACCCCGCGCTGGGCCCGGAGAAAGCCGTGGGCGGGAAGGGCCGGCCACTCACCTAGCGCCATCATCCCGGCGTCGTCCTTCTGGAGGCCGACCCCGGCCCCCTCCGTCCCCTCCCCGGGGGCCCGCATCGCTGGTCCCTGGAAGGAGACGCCGCGTTGTGAGGTGAAACGCCCGAGGGATGGCCTGCACTTCCCGCCCCCTCCCCTCCCAACGGCACCTCACACCTCTCACCAGTCCCAGCGCCAGGGCCCTGAGCCGGGGGATGCTCGCTCGGCCACCCCACGAGGCCTGTGAGAGCCCCCTAGGGGACCACAGCGTCTGCCGACACCTTAGCTGCAACCTCCTGAGACGAGGCGCCAGACCCCAACCCTCAGAGACTGCGTGGGACGCTGCGTCTATTTTTAAACCACCAAGATGGGGGCCACCTGTTACACAGCTGCAGCTGACCGATACAGCTGCTCTGAACGGTGCACTAGCTGCTGCTGCTGCTGCTTTTTCGTTTGTTTGTTTTTTATGGGAGAGGGAGAGACAGAAACATCAGTGATGAGAGAGAACCATGGACCAGGCTGCCTCCTGCATGCCCCACCCTCCCCCGGGGGCAGAGTCTGCAACCCAGGAATCGAACCCTGACCTCCTGGAGCAACCACTGAGCCCCACCAGCCAGGCTGCCTGAGCTTCTTCCTGCCCTTTGCAAACTCTGGGACAGAACGGGGCGTCTGCCTCCCACAGTCTGACCGGAGGCCCCAACCCCGGCTTGTGCTCACACAGCTCCAGCCCGCTCTGCCCTCTCTCTGCCGGGGACCAGGGGGAGGGGCTGCCCGCAAAACCATGTGTGCTGGCCCTTTAAGAGGGTATCTGCATTCCCCGCCGGACAGCAACTCCTGGCCCCGTCCTCCCTCCGCCCGGTCCTGGTGCTCTTGGTTGGGGTGCAGCCTGGGGTTCCGACCCCCGAGGGCTCAGTGGTAACCCCCACTGGCGGAGCGATGCCCCCAGCTGCCGTCGTGGGGGCCCGGTCAGCCGGTGTGCCTCTGCCATATAATTACTTTCCTTGCTACTCCGTAACTGTCATTTTGTTACTGTTACGAATCGTAATGGAAACATCTGATAAGCAGGATGTCTTAGGCCAGTGATTGGCAAACTCATTAGTCAACAGAGCCAAATAGCAACAGTATAACGATTGAAGTTTCTTTTGGAGAGCCACATTTTTTACACTTAAACTATACAGGTAGGTACATTGTTATTAAGTTGATTAGGGTACTCCTCAGCTGGCCTTTGCTAAAAGCTCAAGGGGCCGCCAGCACCGGTTTGGCTCCTGTTGGCTCAGTGGATAGAGCGTTGGTTTCCAGTCAAGGGCATGTACCTTAGTTGCGGGCCATCCCTAGTGGGGGGGATGGGGTGTGTGTGTTCAAGGGGCAGTTGATCGATGTTTCTCTCTCATCAATGTTTCTAGTTCTCTATCCCTCTCCCTTCCTTTCTGTAAGGAATCAATCAAATATATCTTAAAATTAAAAAATAAAGTCAATAGGAAAATATCCTCAAGTGAGGATGAAAAAAAGAAATAACAGCCCTAGACAGTTTGGCTCGGTGGACAGAGCATCAGCCTGCGGACTGAAAGGTCCTGGGTTCGATTCTGGTCAAGGGCACATGCCCGGGTTGTGGGCTCGGTCCCCAGTGGGGAGGGGTGCAGGAGGCAGCCAATCAATGATTCTCTCTCATCGTGGGTGTTTCTCTCTCTCTCTCTCTCTCTCTCCCTCTCCCTTCCTCTCTGACATCAATAAAAATTTAAAAAGTGCCAAAACCGGTCTGGCTCAGCAGATAGAGCTCACTGTCTATCCTTCTCCCTGCCTCTCTGTAAAAAGTCAATAAAATACATTTAAAAATAAATAAATAAAAAACAGAAAATAACAAACAAATAAAGAGTACCACCAGCCTGAGGCTCCCACCGGCAGCGCCCCCATCACACCCTCGGTCCCCAGGCTGCGGTGAGGCTGTGGGGCGGGCCTGTCCACGCACAGGGAGGCGCCAGGGAGCGGGGTTCCCCCCACACCCTGCCCGCTGTCCCAGCTGCCCCTCCCCGCGCCCCCGGGCTCACCCAGAGCTCCTCCAGCAGCGCCAGCGCCTCCTCGCCGCTCTGCGGCCGCCGGCTGCACACCCAGGCCTGCACGTCGGCGGGGAAGGCGCTCAGGAACTGCTCCAGCACCAGCAGCTCCAGCATCTGCTCCTTGGTGCGCAGCTCGGGCTGCAGCCAGGCCCGGCACAGCGCGCGCAGCAGCCCCAGCGCCTCGCGCGGGCCCGGCGCGTCGCCCAGGTGGAAGCGGCGGAAGCGGTGCCACGGCGAGTCCAGCACCAGCAGCTCCGCGGCCGGGCCCTCCTGCTTCACCGGCTGCGGCGCCGGAATCTCCATCGGGGCCGGCGAGCCCGGGCCGGGCAGCGGGGACGGCGGCACCTGCGAGGGGGGACACCGGGCACGGTGAGGGCACCTCCGGCTCTGCCAGGACCCCGGCCACCTCCTGCCGCCAAGGGATGGGAGCAGGGGTGCGGGTGCACACCCCAGCGTCCCCCCTCAGGACCAGAGCGGCTTGGAGCAAGTGATGCCGCCTCTCTCTGCCTCAGTTTCCCCCCCGTCCCCGACACCCCCATAAAACAAAGCGCTGTCCTGGACAAGGTGGCTCAACGGGAAGGGCATCGTCCCATGAACCCAAAGGCTACCGGTTCGATCCCCGGTCAGGGCACATACAAGAAGCCATCAACGGCCCTGGCTGGTGTTGCTCAGTGGATAGAGCGTCAGCCTGCAGACTGAAGGGCCCCGGGTTCCATTCTGGTCAGGGGCACATGCCCGGGTTTCAGGCTTGATCCCTAGTGGGGGGCATGCAGAAGGCAGCCAATCGATGATTCTCTCTCATCCTTGATGTTTCTATCTCTCCCTCTCCCTTCCTCTCTGAAATCAATAAAGAAATATATTAAGCCCTAACCAATTTGGCTTAATGGATAGAGCATCGGCCTGTGGACTGAAGGGTCTCGGGTTCGATTCTGATCAAGGGCATGGACATTGGTTGCTGGCACGTCCCCAGTTGGGGGGGTGCAGGAGGCAGCTGATCGATGTTTCTCTCTCACCGATGTTTCTAACTCTCTCTCCCTCTACCTTCCTCTCTGTAAAAAATCAATAAAATATATTTAAAAAAAAAGAAATATATTAAAACAACAACATACTGTTCTTAACATCATCTCAATAAATTCAATAAACCCTACCTCTAGCCCTAACCTTGACCCTAAAAATAAATAAATTCAATAAAAACTTAAGGGGGGGAGGGCAATGTTAAAATATGCACAGAGATAATAACTTAATAAAAAAATGTAAAAATAAATGAATAAATAAATAAAAAGAAAAACTTAAAAAGAAAAATAAATGTTGACCTTCTCTCCACTGGGTGCCGGTAGCTCCTCCCCAGTTCTGCCACCAAACATGTCCACACACATTGCCACATGTCCCCGCGCACAAGGACTCCCACACGCCTCTGCCCCGCCCCCGCCCCCGCCCCCGCCCCGCCCAGCCGCCGGCTGTCCTTGAACAAGGTACACGGCCTCCGATCCCGGGGCCAAAATCACACAGACCCATGGGCGGCAGTAACAGTTCAACCCTCTGTCCCGATACTCCACGGTTGTGGGTTCGATCCCCGGTCAGGGCACATACCAGGATCAACCAATGGCCCTGGCCGGTGTGGCTCAGTGGATGGACCAGAGGGTCCCGGGTTCGATTCCGGTCGAGGGCACGTACCTTGGTTGCGGGCTCTTCCCCAGCCAGGCTTGTGCAGGAGGCGGCCAAGAGGTGTGTTTCTCTCACATCGATGTGTCTCTGTCTCTCCCTCTCTCTTCCACGTCCCTAAGAATCAACGGAGAAACATCCTCAGGTGAGGAACAACAACAACAAAAAGCAACCAATGAACGCATAAATCAAAGGAACCGCAAATCAGTATTTCTCTTTCCCTTCCTCCCTCTAAAATCAATCGATAAAAGTGTTAGCCCCAGTCCAGTGGTCGGCAAACTCATTAGTCAACAGAGCCAAATATCAACAGTGCAAGGATTGAAATTTATTTTAAGAGCCACATTTTTTAAACTTTTACACTTCTTCTAAGGCCACTTCTTCAAAATAGACTCGCCCATGCCGTGGTTGATTCTTCCTTTAAAAAATATTTTTTTATTGATTTCAGAGAGGAAGAGAGAGGGAGAGGGAGAGAGAAACATCCATGGTGAGAGAGAATAATGGATCGGCTGCCTCCTGCACGCCCCCTACTGGCGATGGAGCCAGCAACCCGGGCATGTGCCCTTGGCCGAAATGGAACCCGGGACTCTTCAGTCTGCAGGCCGACGCTCTATCCACTGAGCCACACCAGCCAGGGCCATTGGCTGATTCTTGCATGAGCCCTGACTGGGGATGGAACCCCCAAGCTCGGGGTCATCAAGGCCTCCAGGCCAGGGCCCCACAAGCACCTACATGCGTTGGAAATCTAGCTGCAAACTGGAATAGGCATTAAGATAAGCAGTAGCCGGGCCTGCCTGGCTCCGTGGCTGAACACTGACCTATGAACCAGGAGGTCAAGGTTCGATTCCCGGCCAGGATTCCATCCCCCCCCCCCAGTGTAGGGCGTGCAAGAGGCAGCCAACCCATGATTCTCTCTCATCGTAGATGTTCCTACTTCTCTCTCTCTCCCTCTCCCTTCCTCCCGGAAAGCAATGCATGTGTTAAAATATATATATTTAAAAGTAAAGGCATTAAAGGCAGTGACTGGAGGCTGTCGGGGTGGAAGGGGGTGGCAGGGGGAGGGGGGCTGCCTCGGGTGATAAGAGCCACAAGCTGAGGCGGGGTGGTGGGGCGGGACACACTCCTCACCAAGACAGAAACCCAGCCGAGACCTGTGTGGCTCAGTGGACAGAGCATCGGCCTGCGGACTGGAGGGTCCCGGGTTCGATTCCGGTCAGGGGCATGTACCTTGGTTGCGGGCACATCCCCAGTGGGAGGTGTGCAGGAGGCAGCTGGTCCATGTTTCTAGCTCTCTGTCCCTCTCCCTTCCTCTCTGTGAAAATCAATAAAATTAAAATAATAATAATAATAAAGACAGAAACCCAGAAATCTTGGGGAACCCCCCAACTTCGCAAAGTGCGTGGAAAGCGCACGGGAAAGGATTCACCTGCACCCCGTCTGCGGGGGGGCGGGGCATGCCCTCCCCCTAAAGCCCCTTCCCCCATACCTGGGGTCCCAGACTCGTCCCCAGGACCCCGTCCCCGCCCCTTCCCCCTCCCCCTCCCCTCGCCCCCCTTCCAAGGCCCTCCCCAACTCCACTCGCTCTGTTTCCAACTCTTTCCTTCGACACCCCTCTCCCTGACCCCCCTCCCCCTCCCGATCGACCTCCCCTCCCCCTCCCCCTCCCCCACCGCGACCCCCTTGTTCCCCCCTCCCCACATCGCCCCCTCCCGCCCGCCCTTCACCGGCGCCCCCCACCCCCAAAAGCTCCAACCTCCCCCAAACCCTCCCTCACGTCCCCGCACTCACCTCACTCTCCCCGGCGAGGCCCCCCCAAGCCCCCTGCGCCTCCTCGCACATGCGCACAACGCTCACCGGGACTCCATGCCCCGGCAGGCCTTGCGCCAAACTCTTCCGTCCTCCCCTCCCCCCCCACCCCTCCCCCGGGGACCTAGTGCTCCGTTCCGCCTGACGAACCGCCCCCCCCCCCACCGGAGCTCGCCGGCACTACATTTCCCAGGGAGCGGCGCGGCAACGGAGGCTTCCCATTGGCTCTCTCCTCACGTGCGCGTCCGTCCCCCGAGCGGCGCCGCCAGCGCCAGAAATACATTTCCCAAGATGCACCGCGGGCTAGCCAGCGGAGGCGCCTATTGGCCGGCACAAATACGGCCTCGCCTACCTAGCGCGCCGCCGGGCTCTCGGACTACATTTCCCAGAAGGCAGACGGGGCTTCCCGTGGGGTCGCGCGCCGAGGCCGAGCATGCGCAGACGTGCGGACGGTGGAGGTGGGGAGGAGGAGGGACCGTGGTGGCGTCGCCGTGGAGACCGGAGGAGGCGGGACGCAGCCGGGCACTTGGGAAATGGGGGGCCCTTGGGACCCAGGAACGGGCTGAGGAAGAAGGAGGAGGGGCCTGAACCGAAGCCCCGAGCCCAATCCCGGCGTGCTGGGTGTGTCTCCATGGCAACGGGCCGCCGCTCACCCCTCCCCCACCGGCGGAGCTAACGGGGTGCCCGGTCCTGGCGGGGTTCGGCCGTGACCCAGAGCCCTGGCACAGCCTCGGTTCCCCCTCTGTGAATGGGGAGGGTACCTCCTGCCTCACGTCCCGACGTGCCCGCATCGTTCGCGGCGGCGGCCTCAGTTTCCCCGTCTCAGAAACGGGGAGAAGCAGCGCTGGTCTTCAGAGCGGGAGAGAGCTGGAGGCGGGATGGAGTCTGCTCCAGGGCCGCGCTGGTCTGGTTCCCACTCTCATCCCATTGCCCGCTGGACGTCTCTCCGCTTGGACATTTCTTTTCTTTTCTTTTTTTAAAATATATTTTATCGATTTTTTACAGAGAGGAAGGAAGAAGGATAGAGAGTGAGAAACATCGATGAGAGAGAAACATCCATCAGCTGCCTCCAGCACACCTCCCACTGGGGATGTGCCTGCAACCAAGATACATGCCCCTGACCAGAATCGATCCTGGGACCCTTCAGTCTGCAGGCCAACGCTCTACCCACTGAGCCAAACCGGTTGGGGCAGAGAGCCCAATTTTTTAAACTTAAAGTTCTAACGCCATTTCTTCAACATAGACTCGCCCAGGCCGTGGTATTCTGTGGAAGAGCCACACTCAAGGGCCCAGAGAGCCCCATGTGGCTCTGGAGCTGTGGTTTGCCGACCACAGGGCTAGGGGACAGGAGAGCAGGAACAGAACAGAGAATGCCCTTACAAGAAGCGGGGTGAGGAGATAGAAAACGAATTGTGCCAAGCAGGCAGTGTAGAAAAATTAAGAAAAATTAATGCAGTCAGACCACTTGAATTTAGGGGGCAGTACAGTCCCCTCACGGATAAGGATGAGTCCAGGATTTGACTGCTGCACATAAAGCCAGTGTGGAATGAAGTAAGGTAGCAACCATCTCAGGTAGAAACTGCAGGGGAGGGAGGTTGTTTGTTTGTTTGTTTATTTAAACATTTATTGATTTCAGAGAGGAAGGGAGAGGGTTAGAGAGATAGAAACATCAATGAGAGAGAATCATTGATCGGCTGCCTTCTGCACACCCCCCACTGGGGATTGAGCTCACAACCTGGGCGGGCATGTGCCGTTGACCAGAATCGAACCTCGGACCCTTCAGTCCCCAGACCAACACTCCATCCACTGAGCCAAACCGGTTCGCAGTTTTTAACCTTAACTTTCTTTTTTATTTATTTATTTTTTTAATTGAAGTTTTTTGTTTGTTTTTTTTAATATATTTTATTGAGTTTATATTTTATTGATTTTGTACAGGGAGGAAGGGAGAGAGATAGTTAGAAACATCCATAAGAGAGAGCCATGGATCAGCTGCCTCTTGCACACCCCCTACTGGGGATATGCCCGCAACCAAGGTACATGCCCTTGACCGGAATCGAACCTGGGACCTTTCAGTCCCCAAGCCGATGCTCTATCCATTGAGCCAAACCGGTTTTGGCTTAACCTTAACTTTCACTTGCTCTTTGGCTCCTGTACTCATTGGCTTGCTGAAACAATAGAAAAGTTACTTTGATTTTCTGAACTTATGAATGCTGTCCCAGTCGACTGAACCCTCCATGGATGGTGGTTTGTGTGCCCCGTGGATGGTGACCTCACTGGTCACAGAAGCACATTCTTCTGTACCTGGGAACCAGGACAGATCAATTACCCTAAATTGTCTCAGCGGCTGCAGATAATGCGTTCCGGGTGGCTCCGTGGGCCCAGAATCTGGACAGCACAGTTATTCTAAATTGTGTGACCTCCGTGGCCCCAAGACAATGCGTTTCTGCTGACTCAGGGACCCGCAGACCCAAAGCTCTACGTAATCTTCACAGATCACTAACTCGCCCAGTCTCGCTTCTGTAACTGCTCTGTGCACACCGGGCTCCTCGCTCCAGACCCAGAGATGGAATCGGTGCCTTTGTGACTTTCTGCCCACCTGAGCCAGATGTGGTGAGCTTCTAGGGCTGCGAGGTCTGGAGGGCTGAACTGCCCTTCGTAAGCCGCTGGCTGTTAACAAATGACCCCGTAATTGGACTTGTTGAGGCGTCCTTGGTGAGATCCGGGGTACGCACGGCTAGCATGCTTCCAGCGGCTCCCATCCCCACCTCCCTGCCGGTGTGCTCCCAGCATGCCCACCAGCACGGTCTCCCAGCATCCAGCGCACCATCAGCACCGGTGAGCAGAGGGACGAAGGACTGACTCCCCTTCTTCTTCCTCCCTCCCTCCTCTTCACATCCCTCCCGGTTCAAACGCCGCCTCTTCCAGGAAGCCTTCCCAGGCCACTCCCACCCCAATCACCCTGGACAAGGCGCCTCATTGGAGCTTGCGGGGGGGGGGGGGGGTGCCCCTTCTCTCTCCATCTCCTGCCTGGGCTATTTTTAAAAATACATTTTTTATTGATTTTTTTGTACAGAGAGGAAGGGAGAGGGATAGGGAGTCAGAAACATCGATGAGAGAGAAACGTCGACCAGCTGCCTCCTGTACGCCCCCTACTGGGGATGTGCCTGCAACCAAGGTACATGCCCTTGACCGGAATCGAACCTGGGACCCTTCAGTCTGCAGGCCGACACTCTATCCACTGAGCCAAACCGGTTTCAGCCTGGGCTATTTTTTAAATATATATATATATATATATACACAATATATATATATAATTGATTTTTTTACAGAGAGGAAGGGAGAGGGATAGTCAGACACATCGACCAGCTGCCTCCTGCACAATCGCCACTGGGGATGTGCCCGCAACCAAGGTCCATGCCCTTGACCCTGGGACCCTTCAGCCCGCAGGCCGAGGCTCTATCCACTGAGCCAAACCGGCTTCCGCTGGACTATTTTTTTTCAATCCCATCCTCCTGTTAACAACTCAACAACAGAGACCCAGGCCTTGCCAGCTCCCGGGGCTGGGGAGTTAGCAAGGACTAAGGAAGGTGGCTCTGCCCCCCTCCCCCCCTTTCCCAGGCCTGAGGGCGAGCATTCCTTTGGCAGCTCCTGTCCTTCCAGAGCAGCCAGCCTGTGCCTCCCAGCCCCGAGCTGTAATTATTACCCAAAATAATAATTAACCTTCCCTCGTGCAGGCTGAGGATGCTGGGGGCGGGGAGGGGACCTGGGACCTCTCTGGGTCTCCAGCCCAGGCACCTGGAGGTTCCGGAATGTTCCCTGGAGGAACAGGTGGTGGGTGAGCAGGTGAATGCACTCAGGGAGGGAAAGGGGGAAGGAAGGGGGAGGAGTTCCTGAAAGGAATGGCTGGGGGAAGGGGCTGGGTTTGAGCATGACTCACCTTCTCGGGGCCTCAGGAGACACTTAAGAATAAATAATTAAATTGCAAACGAATTGCTTAATGATGGGCTGCCCCAGATCAAAGCACCAGCTGCCAGCCCATTTATTTACAGGTTTATTTACAGCGGGAGGAGAGGGAGGGAAACAGGGTTTCCATCCCCTCGGACGGAAACTGCTGGTCGGCTTCTGTGCTTATCTGTTCGCTAAAACAATAGAGAAGTTGCCGGAGCCGGTGTGGTTCAGTGGATAGGCCTGCAGACTCAAGGGTCCAGGGTTCGATTCCGGTCAAGGGCATGTGCCTTAGTTGCGGGCACGTCCCCAGTGTGGGGTGTGCAGGAGGCAGCTGATGGATGTTTCTCTCTTATCGATGTTTCTAACTCTTTATCCCTTTCCCTTCCTCTTTGTAAAAAGTAAATAAAATATATTTTTAGGAAAGAAAAAAAAAACACTAGAAAAGTTACTTTGATTTTCTGAACGTAGGGATGCTGTCCCAATACTCCATGGATGGTGGTCTGAATGTCCCATGGATGGGAACTCACTGGTCCCTGAAGCACCTTCTTCTGGGACCCAGGACAGCTCAGTTATCCTAACTTGTTTCAGTAGCTGCAGATAATGAGTTTCGGTTGACTCAGTGGTCCCGGAATTTGGACAGAACAATTATCCTAAATGGCCCAGTTTGTCCGTCCCAGCTCACGTGCTTCTGTGGATTCGGTGAACCGTAGATACTTTAGATAAAAACTCGCTCCGTTCCACGTCTGTGACATCGCGAAACAGGCTCTCACTCCAGACCCAGAGACGGAATGATGCCTCAGTGACGTTCTGCCCATGAGCCAGGCTGGCGAGCTGTCCAGGCTGCGAGGTCTGGGGCGCTTTAGCCCCTCGTAAGCCGCCGGCCGTTAACAAATGACCCCGTAACTGGACTTCCTGAGGCACCTTTTGTGAGATGGGCGTACACACAACAGGAGGAGAGGTGGGCGAGGTTGGTGCACCTCCCCCGAGGGACACAGCGAGAGCGGCCCAGGTGGCCACTCCCAGGCTTGGTGGCCAGCGGCTGCTGGGGGGCCTGGTCCTGCTTCTGGGGGTCCCTGCCCCACCTCCCCCGGCTGGACACAGGGACCGTGAGCAGGGCCCACGGCAGGAAGGAGTCAGACAAGGCTCGATGGCCCCCAGGTCCCGGTGTAGGCAGCTCCCGTGTGGGTGGGTACCTCACAGGGATTGATGTGGG